GGTCCGACTATAGACCTATCAGCCTTTGTAATGTAAACAACAAACTCATCTCCAAGATTCTTAACGGTCGTCTTGCCCCTTTCCTCCATTCTCTCGTCTATCCGAACCAGAGTGGTTTCATCAAGGATCGAGTCATCAATGATAACATCATTTTGGCTCAGGAGATGATCCACGACATCTCCCATACGAACCGGTTACGAGCCCCGAACTTTTCCCTGAAGCTAGATATGGCTAAGGCATATGATAGGGTCGAGTGGCCTTTTCTTAGGGAGGCTCTGTTTCAGATGGGTTTTCTTGAGCGTTGGATAAGTTCTATGGAGACGTGCGTGGAGCACTGCACGTTCTTGGTTCTGGTTAATGGCAGCCCCACTAACATCTTTTTTTCTACCCGTCCCTTCAGCAGGAGGATCCCTTATCTCCATCCCTTTTTGTTTTGGCAGCAGACTACCTGTTTCGTTGTCTTGACGACTTTATTCGTGATTTTAAGAGGATGACCTGTAGCACGCGTGGCTATGGTCCCCCCATCTCGCACCTTTCTTATGCGGATGACATTATTATTTTCACTCACGCGGATAATGATGGGCTGACCGAGTTCATGGGCCTTCTAGAGCAATATAACTCGGTTTATGGTCATTGTCAGTGTGCAGAATAGCACATTCACTCTTGATCCTCACATTGCAGACTAGGGGGCCCATTGGGTCCATGAGTGCACTGATTTCACACGTGGCGACCTCCCCATCACCTACCTTGGCGCCCCTCTGTATAAGGGCCATCTTTCGCAAGCGGTCTTTACAAATATCAGACAGAGGATACTTGACTAGATCTCCGGCTGGTCTCATTGACACATCTCTTTAAGGGGTCGGCTTGCTCTGATCAAGAGCACCAACATCGCCCTTCCTCTTCACCCCTCCGTACACTCCTCGACCCCCACTAGTCAACTATTCACTAGCTTGATCATATCTTGGCTCGTTATTTCTGAGTGCATGGGGAGGGCTCTTGGAGAGGGAGACAGATCCGCTGGGTTAAGTGGGACTCTGTTTGTCGCCCCTTCTCTGAGAGGGACCGCGGGATCCGGCGCTTTTCGGATGTCCTCATTGCTTTCTCTTATCAGATGTAGTGGTGCTTCAGGGAGTGTAAGTCTCTTTAGGCTCAGTATCTTGTCGGAACTACTGTCCTAGAGGTGCTTCTCACCCCTGTAGGGTGACGACCACTGTTCGTGATAGCAGACAGTGAGGCTCACCGTAGTTGGTAGACGTGCTCAAAAGCACATATTTTGGACTCTGTAAGGGAGACTTTAGCTTTTGAGATGAATGGTGGTTTGGTGAAGGTCCCCTTTCGAGTACAAGTCAGATCACCTACCTACCTTTTCTGTAGGTGAAGCACCTGTGGACGGAGGAGGATTGAGATATGGATAGGTTGGAGAGGATTTTAGGTACTGAGGCGGACTTTAATGACCAGATTATAGATCAGATCCAGCAGATACTCATCTCGGAGGACAAATTGGACGGTATGAGGTGGAGACTTACATCTTCATATGCATTCTCTACGACCTCAGCTTGAGAGGAAGTACAACTATGTGACCAGTCTAACCTTCTTTTGTGGCCATCTGGACTGACCAGTTTACCCCGACTATCTCTGTGACGAGATTCCAGCGTACAACATAACAAGGTTCAAAACATCAACCAAGGAGTTGAAAGGGATCAGTGTTGGGAATGCAAAGGGTTCGATCACTTTCAGAAGAAATTTCCAAACTTCAACAGAAAGAACAAGATTTATAAGGCAACATGATCTGACTGCAGTGATGAGGAGAATGAAGAATTTGATAAGACTGAAAATTCTCAGTATTCCAATAACTTTGCTAAATGTCTTCTTAGTGAATGTAATTGCTTTACATCCTCTGTCCATCTTACTGATGTTGAATTTGATGTAGGTTCTTACGCAAAGAACCTAAGCGATGCTGAATCTGAGGAGTTCTCTGATCCTGTTGAGGAGAACCTTGTACTCCACAAGTATGCTCTAGAGAAGTGCCTGAAGGTTGTCCAAATCATCAAGAAGTACCAAGCCCAGACAGAGAAGATGAAGAAATTGGAACACAGGTCAGCAGAACGTTAGAAAGAAATTACCTATCTCAGGAGTGAACTTCAGAAGATACGAACTATGACTGTTGACTTAAATGAAAAGCTCATCAAATCTGATCTTCACTCTAGGAAGCAAGACAATGATCTCAATAGATGCCTTGATAAACTTGCGTTGTTAGAACACGGCGACAAACATAACAAACAGTCAAGTGATGAACAAAATTTTAACATTGAATCATTGCACAATGAATTGTTTGTTGTGCAGAGTCTTGTAGGAGAGAGGAAAACCGAGATTGTAGTTCTCAAAGAAGAACTAGGACGTGTAATGGACGAACACATGACACTTTGAAGTCACTGTTCAAACTTGGAAGGGAAACTCAACAAGAGTGAGGAGATTGTAAAGATGATCAACAAGCCAAAGTCCTCCTATGCTGAAGTTCAAAGACTGAGCCAACAGATGGGGTCTTCCAACCAGAGTAAGAACTCTGTCAATCAGAAACTGAAAGGTAAAGTGGGTGAACCAAGCACGTCGCTGAGTAGGTCTGGTTTAACCTTTGTCAAAGAAGGTTACTCCATTGAGAGTAAGAATGGTAAGCCAAATCCTACTAAATCACTATTGTGGTATTCGTGGTCATATTCGCCCTAAGTGTTATAGGATGCATAATGATATTTACACTGGTCGAATTGATAAATGGAGTCCACATGGTGTTCCTTTGAAAGCACCAAAACTAAAGGTTGATCTTATTAATCACGAACATAGAAATATTTGGGTTTCTAAAGGTAATAAGAACAATTGTTTGTCTTCTATACTTGCATTGAAATCCACCTCTAATTCTAGTTGGTATTTTGACAGTGGTTGTTCTCGTCATATGACGGGCTTAAAATCTAACTTGACCAATATTTTGCATGTTCCTTCTAGTTCTGTAACCTTTGGTGATGGTGCTAAAAATAAAGTTCTTGGTATTGGGTGTTTGAACGTTTCTGGATTACCTAAGCTTCATTATGTTCTTCTTGTTGAAAATTTGAAAGCAAATCCATTGAGTATTAGTCAGTTGTGTGATCAGGGTCTTAATGTGAACTTTACTAAATCAGAATGTCTAGTTTCTGATCAAGACATCAATCGTGTCTTACAGGCACTAGGTCTAGGGATAATTGTTACCTAGTTGAACTTGAACTAAAATGTAATAAGGCTAGTGTTGACACGGTTGAACTCTGGCATCAGAAATTAGGACATATTAATTATCTTCACTTACTTAAATTATCTTCTACATGTGTTGTTCGTGGTATGCAACAAAATGGGCTGGTCGAACGTAAGAACAGAACCCTACAAGAAATGGCTAGAGTGATGCTTGTCTCACAGGGGATGTCTTTGGGATGGTGGGTTGAAGCCATCAACACGGCATGTTACATCACTAACTGTGTATTTTGCAGGAGAGGTACGGGGTTGACGTCTTATGAGCTTTGGAAAGGTAAAGCTCCTAGTGTGAAATATTTTCATGTGTTTGAATGTCGTTGTTACATTTACAATGACCGACAACATCTAGGTAAGTTTGAGTCTAAAAGTGACAATGGTCAATTTCTTGGTTACTCATCTAACAGTCTTGCTTTTCGTGTTTATAACTTGCGTACTGAGGTGGTGATGGAGTCGATCAATGCTGTCTTAGATGACTTATCTGATAGTGTTCTTATACCTGATGTGTCTCAAATTGATGTGTCTGTTGTGACTGAATTTTTTTGATTATGGTGTTCTAACACCCTCTGGAAACAACCCGATCTCCTGGCTAAGCAAGAAGCAGAACGATATTGCTCTTTCAACCGCGGAGGTCGAATACATCTCAGCTAGAAGTTTCTGTTCCCAGCGAGTTTGGATGAAACATACGATGATGGAATTTGGCCTTGGGATAAGAACTGTAAACCTGTTTTATGATAATTCCAGTGCGTTAAATATCTCCAGAAATCTTGTTAAACACTCTAGAACTAAACACATTGATATACGGTACCACCTTATTAGAACTTTGGTTGAGAATGAAGTGATTGTTCTTGAGTATGTTCTTACGCAAAACCAGTTGGTTGATATATTCACCAAAGCACTGTATTCCCAACGATTCATTTATCTAAGGAAATCCTTAGGGATGTGCACTCTTTGAATGCTTGCGGGAAATTGCATTATATTGTATTTAATTGTATATTATAAGTATAACTATCTATTTCATTGTGTGTAAGCATTTAGGGTATATTTCATTAGGCATGCCTTGCATATTGCATCTGTCTCACCACTAGATTCTTAATTGATGTTCTGACTCCTCTGAAAGCTTGAGCGATGTTGATTGTCTAGGACTGATTGCGTTTTCTTGCAATACCTCGGAATGTACTTATTTTATCTTTTTTTTTTTTGTCAAAAAGAGCTGCCTTCTCATAAATGATCTAGAGCGATAGCTAGCGCATGGTTCGTTTCCCAATGCGGGATCGATTGTGAAGATAGCGTCTGGGCAGAAAATGTTGAGAAGGGTGTAAGCTAGTGACGCCCACTGCACAATATTGTGTGGTGTTTTTACTTGGAGTTATAAGGTTGTCACCCCCATAAAAACCGTAGTGCTATTCAAAAAAAAAAAAACGTGGGATCCTTGCTTAAAATCGTTGTGCAAAGTAGTGGGGTTGACTTTCACTATGACAGTGATTGTTACTAAGTGAAACTCACGATGAATAATAAGGCATGTGTTCTTATAGTATTGAAGTCGCGGTTTGTACTACATTGTATATTATTATTATTATTATTATTATTATTATTATTATTAGTATTAGTATTATTATTATTATTATTATTAGGGTAAATAATTATTTGCAACCTGTACTATACACGAATTTTGGGTTTGCAATCTAAAGATTTTTTTGTATTAAATTGCAACCTTTAATACACAGATTTGTCTATATCGCAACCTCCGGCCATCGGCGGCCCATTTTTCACTGGAAAAGATAGCGTGCGGCACACACGTACCAAATTTGAGGGCAAAAATGTCTTTTCATCTCTCTTCCTTCTTCCTCCTTCATCCTCTCTCTCTCTCACATACAGAGTAAAATCAAACGTCGAATTACAGCGAGATAATTCAATCCCTCGATCGGGAGGCCCCTGTAGTCATCGTAGAGGCCCATGAAATTCACGCCTTTCAATGTGAAATTCACGAAAAAAGAGGCGGCGGAGACAGCCACGAGGTTGAGGAATTGGACCAGGCTGGCATAAAATGATATCCCGATTGCAGAGGACAGCGGAAGAACGGAGGCAGAGGGAGAAAGGTACAGTTCTTCTTCTTCGTCAGGGCGATGAAGGCGACGTTCAAGAAAGCGATGTCGTACAGAGTGATGCCGTTGGAAGGAAAAATGGGGGGTGCGATGAAGAAGATGAACATAGCAAAGGAAAATATCGAACACATTTACTGAAATTTCGATTGCTTTTCTTTAGATCTGAGGCAATTTCGACAAGTCTGTCCAGATTGAAGTAGAATTTGACCGTGGGAGACTCCGTCGGCGACAAAGTAGTCCCCTTGAGTTTCCGGCAGATGGCGGTTCCCTGCACTCCTTTTCCCAGGCGCTCTCTTTAGGGTTTGTGTGCGTGAGAGTGTGTGTGAGAGAGAGGATGAAAGAGGAAGGAGAAAGAGAGATAAAAGACTTTTTTGCCCTCAAATTTGATACGTGTGTGTCACACGCGCGCTTTTCCGGTGCAAAATGGGCCGCCGATGGCTGGAGGTTGCGATATAGACAAATCTTTGTATTAAAGGTTGCAATTTAATACAAAAATATCTTTAGGTTGCAAACCCAAAATTCGCGTATAGTACAGGTTGCAAATTATTATTATTATTATTATTATTATTATTATTATTATTATTATTATTATTATTATTATTATTATTATTATTATTATTATTATTAATTGT